CACAGACAATGTAACACACACAGACACTGTAACACACACAGAAACTGTAACACACACAGAAACTGTAACACACACAGACAATGTAACACACACAGAAACTGTAACACACACAGAAACTGTAACACACACAGAAACTGTAACACACACAGACACTGTAACACACACAGACACTGTAACACACACAGAAACTGCAACACACACAGAAACTGCAACACACACAGAAACTGCAACACACACAGAAACTGCAACACACACAGACACTGCAACACACACAGAAACTGCAACACACACACACAAGTTGGCTATGAGTAGTGCGTGAGGCGGACTAAGAAAACGATGGAAAGATAACAAAACATGTAGACCCAAAACACACTTGGAAAGAGGAAGCCAATCACAAGCAAAGGGGTTATACCTGCAGCAGAAAGCCCCAGCAGATCAGTGTGCTGAAGAAGAAGACACAGAAGCAAGAGAAAACTGGGAGGTATAGAAGGAGTATAGCTGGAGCAATACATTTCTGGGTTGAGACAGCAACTGACTGGATGACTTAAACTGAGACGGCAACTGACTGGATGACTTAAACTGAGACGGCAACTGACTGGATGACTTAAACTGGGACGGCAACTGACTGGATGACTTAAACTGAGACAGCAACTGACTGGATGACTTAAACTGAGACGGCAACTGACTGGATGACTTAAACTGAGACGGCAACTGACTGGATGACTTAAACTGAGACGGCAACTGACTGGATGACTTAAACTGAGAAGGCAACTGACTGGATGACTTAAACTGACTGGATGACTTAAACTGACTGGATGACTTAAACTGACTGGATGACTTTAACTGAGACGGCAACTGACTGGATGACTTAAACTGACTGGATGACTTAAACTGACTGGATGACTTAAACTGACTGGATGACGTAAACTAAGACGGCAACTAACTGGATGACTTAAACTGAGACGGCAACTGACTGGTTGACTTAAACTGAGACGGCAACTGACTGGATGACTTAAACTGACTGGATGACTTAAACTGAGACGGCAACTGACTGGATGACTTAAACTGAGAAGGCAACTGACTGGATGACTTAAACTGACTGGATGACTTAAACTGACTGGATGACTTAAACTGAGACGGCAACTGACTGGATGACTTAAACTGAGAAGGCAACTGACTGGATGACTTAAACTGACTGGATGACTTAAACTGAGACGGCAACTGACTGGATGACTTAAACTGAGAAGGCAACTGACTGGATGACTTAAACTGACTGGATGACTTAAACTGAGACGGCAACTGACTGGATGACTTAAACTGAGACGGCAACTGACTGGATGACTTAAACTGACTGGATGACTTAAACTGAGACGGCAACTGACTGGATGACTTAAACTGAGACGGCAACTGACTGGATGACTTTAACTGAGAAGGCAACTGACTGGATGACTTAAACTGACTGGATGACTTAAACTGAGACGGCAACTGACTAGATGACTTAAACTGACTGGATGACTTAAACTGAGACGGCAACTGACTGGATGACTTAAACTGAGACGGCAACTGACTGGATGACTTAAACTGAGAAGGCAACTGACTGGATGACTTAAACTGACTGGATGACTTAAACTGACTGGATGACTTAAACTGAGACGGCAACTGACTGGATGACTTAAACTGACTGGATGACTTAAACTGAGACGGCAACTGACTGGATGACTTAAACTGAGACGGCAACTGACTGGATGACTTAAACTGAGACGGCAACTGACTGGATGACTTAAACTGACACGGCAACTGTCTGGATGACTTAAACTGAGACGGCAACTGACTGGATGACTTAAACTGAGACGGCAACTGACTGGATGACTTCAGCTGAGACTGAAGATAGTTTTTGCTCCATTCTGATAATTTGTAGAAATAAAAGACACGACAGTTGGGCATTTTGATGATATCATTATTAGATCCATGTTATTAGGACATCATGATACTGTGTTGTGTTTCTTTCAAGACTTGAGGATGTGATGTATTTCTTCCAAGACATGACGATGAAAAGGTTGAAGCCTGTGTGTTTAGACAACATCACAAAAAGGTAGGATAAAGCCTCCATGCTTGGACCACATCAAGAAATTAACAGGACGAAGCCTGAATGGTTGGACAACATCAAGAAATCTGGTAATCTGGTCATCTTAGTTTCAGCTTCAGAGCAAACGGGTCGCCCCATAGTTGCTCTGCTCCTGTGCCAACGAAAAACACATAAAATGTTTTTCACTGTTCAAATGAAATCCGCAGCTCACGGTGTTACGCCATGCACTCAACTCCGAACCTGGGCAACGAAACTATATCCTTGCAGTCTACAAATAGAGCAAAAATGCAACGGCCACCGTCTGGCAAAAGAAAAAAAAATTGCCACGGCTACAAAAGGTGGCCGTGCCTAGCGTCAGTTTTGACCTGAAGCATTTTTTGAGGGTTAATAAACGGTCACTCCAGCAGTACCCTCATTATTTTCTGGGAAAGGGACTTAGGACATTACATCTACCAGCAGGCGTCGCCCCTACAACAACCTGACTGCCTTCGTTAACGACTGTTCACCCACCAGCCATGTAGTTCTTTGGCACGAAGGAGACACCTTGAACTTGGGTATCGGGCTGCCGGCTTCCTACAAGATGTTATCTTTTTCATGTTATCACAATCGACGTCACTGCACATTGGGCATTCCCATGCGTGCTCAGTCATCTGTTGCAGCAGCCATTACAATTTACTTCTACTAACTGTTCCCATGAGAAGCTGGTTATATTGTCTCCTATCTCGGCCTCAAAAACGACAAAGACTTGCTTCACCATGCTTTACTCCCATGTCACGCAATCGTGCCAGTGTCAGGGATTCCTCATTCTCCACTAGCCCAGTTCGTACAGCGTTGACTATATCTGCTCTGTCCATGCTTTTTCCCGCAATCATTAGTTCAGTGCTTGCCAGTCAGTCTGCTCGCTCATTTCCCTTTACATGACCGGTGTGTAGATCCAGGTTACAGAGGTTAAGTGCGATTTTCGAATACTTTCTACCCATTCAGAGCGCATACTGCCTGTTGCTATCTTCTAAAGCATATTCATTGAGTCTGAGACAATTACTACCTGTGTGGCGGTTTGCTCGGATACCCATGCTAAAGCTCTAGAAGCAGGGGCTATGTCCATGATCATGCTTGGCATTGTTGTCTGGTAAGCGCCGCTGTCCTGCTGTATTGTTTTCCTCCTTCTTTGCTCTGTGTATGCCCACGCTGACCTTGATCCGCGCTTCACAGATCCATCTGTGTAGATGATGATATCTTCTGGGTCTGAATGCTGATCTAACTGTTCCCTTACTTCTGTGTCTACGGCCGCAGGAATTTGATCCCTGCAGTACCTTCCGAGTGTGATGACAACTCTAGAGATGCCATGCATGTCTACTGGTGTATTCGTCCATTCTTTTCCATGACTGATCATGTCTAAGTCACATACCTGCTGAATTAAATCCTCAGCCTTTGCCATCCAAGAGTTGCCTCTTTTGAGACGCGTTCCTTTTGTGTCGTGTATAGCTTTGTGCAATGGGTGGTTAACGTCTACTGATACCCTCATGTAAGCCTTGACCTGTGTCACTTTGTATCTGCTAGTCATCGTCGGCAAACCCAGGACATAACGCATGGCGTTGCAGGAGGTGTCTTTTGTGCAGCCGAGTATGAGTCTCATGGCCTCATTTTGTACTCGGTCCAGTTTTTCTATCAAGAAATGAACAGGACAAAGCCTGCATGGTTGGACCACATCAAGAAATGAACAGGACAAAGCCTGCATGGTTGGACCACATCAAGAAATGAACAGGACAAAGCCTGCATGGTTGGACCACATCAAGAAATGAACAGGACAAAGCCTGCATGGTTGGACCACATCAAGAAATGGTAGGATGAAGATGGGTGAACCGAGATGATCTGGAACACTGTGTATGGCCATTTATGAAAATAAACTTTCAGTCCGTAAGTGACATTAGTTTAAAATAGACTGTGGTCGTGAACATAAAATTTACATTGGCCAAACAATACATATTCTAACTGGAACAATCTTGATAAAGGTTTAGTTGGGAGTACCAGATTAAATATAATATGAGAGTGGCATGAGATCTTGACAGACTTTTTAAAATTGTCAACTGTGAATGCTGGTTCTTCAATGTTTCTTTGGCTTACTTTACAAGTTGCTAATGTTTCTTTGGCTTACTTTACAAGTTGCTAATGTTTCTTTGGCTAACTTTACAAGTTGCTAATGTTTCTTTGGCTAACTATACAAATTGATAATGTTTATTTGGCTACCTATACAAGTTGCTAATGTCTTATTGTAAACAATGACTGTTGCTAAAATCCCTGGCTATAACTGATGAAACGTTGCCTGGTAAAAGGAATCCTTGTGTCACATTTTTCATCGCGGGACTCATGGACAGTCGTTGTTTGAAAATCAGAAGTCGATCAGAGCTGAAGGCAACAGTCAGCACAACTGCGACGCA